GGTTTCTAGGTCAAATTCACGAACAATATTTACCCATTATCTTGGGAAAACAAGTTTTATTATCTCTAGATTATGAGATAAATAGTTCAACTCTAAGTGGTGTCAGTAGTATTTTTCTATGCATTACTGCTCTTGGTTTCTGTAGCAGACAAAAAGAAACCCTACAGCTCAGTTTTTAAACTACAACTTTAGTAGTAGCAGTTTACTTAATTGCTAAATTTATGTACAGAATTCTCAGTTTCTCTATTACATGCACCAAAATCAAATGTACAGTGCTAAAAAAAAAAATTCAGCTCAGATTAGCTTTAGATCAATTCCTTATTCAAAATTGACTTTTTGCTCACATTTTGTGCAACCATTTGGGCTTCTACTGTTTCAAAAAAAAGTCCAAGTGCTTAAAAAAAAAACATCCTCCCTTTCTCTGGCAATAAATTTATGTTTTCGGGTATCTGGAAACCAAAATATTTTTAAGTCACCCACTTCATTATTAGAAAACAAACGCATTTGTTCAGCTAGTTTTACTGCTGTATGTGCTGTACAATGGCTGCTGGAAAAGATAGGTGTTTTGTTGCTGACTTACCACCCAAGAAACCACTTGCTGCATTCTTGTTGGTTGTGCAGGAGGCTCAACTTCTGTTTTTCAATGATCTACAGTATGGTTGTACATCTCTGCAGTCATTTTCACATGTATCAGGTGAAGACACTGATTTGGAGATCATGGCCAGCAGCAACTTGCATATTTGCATAAATGTGAGGTTTAAAGCATTTCATCCTTAAAGGAGCTAAAAATAAGCAGAACTTGGTGGGTTAAATCTCAACAGAATTACTTTGTGCAAAAAAAGTTAAAGGAATTTTTTTTTTTTTTTTTTTTATTAATAGCCCACAGACTTATAACTTTTTTAAAAGTAAGTGTACTGGGTCCCCTTTAAATAATTTCCAGGCTCATGTTTCTCTTCAATCCTGGTTTCTTATACTTTGGCATCTCTCGGTGTATCTGATTAAATTGCAGATGTTCTGCTCGTTTGACGCAAGATATCTTCAGGGCAGATCTGTTGGACACACTTCTCCAGGTGAAAATAAGAAACATCAGCCAACATCAAAATTACCTTTGAAGGAAAAAATTCATTTTCCAGCCCAAGTGTTGCAATAACTCTCTTACTTGCCTTTTTCGGCAATAAAAAAAAAAACCTCTTGTTTTGTGTATGGACAATAAAATGAGAAATCTGGCCCAGATTGTATTTATCTCAGGAGCTATAATCAGCGTCCGGCTCATTTAAAATGCTGAAACAATGTTCTTGGCAGAAGCTCAAAGTAGAGTTTGTTGCAGAGTTGTTTTTTCAGTTTGTTGCAGAAGCACAAGATGGCAGATTCCTGATTTATTTATGTCTGCTGCCCTCTATACTTTTTCTCCACAGCTTCAGATGCAGGAGCAACGTGAGACTTAATGCAGAATCCATACGAGACAATCAGATTAATGTTCCTGCAGGAAGTCGGGCTGACCTCTGACCTTTCTCATGATCTTTACTGATAAATGGGGACAGTAAGTGCTCTGTGGGAGTGCTAGGGTTACTGAAGATGAGAAATAAGATGTGATCTGCATGCAGTTTCACCAACGCTGGAGATCATGGAGGTTCAGTCAACCTCTGAAGATGGAGAGCAATAGGATCATTCATCTACAACAAAAAGCTTCTTCAGATGATGGTTTCTTGACATGAAACAGAAACAGAAAAAATGGGCTGGATTGCATGTTATATTTACATGAACATGCTCTGGTATGACCAGAATGCAGCAAGGATTGGTTTGAGCAGCAAAAGGAACGATTATGTAAATATATTAAAGCTGTAGCTACTTTAGGGAAAAGTTACAGAGATAACAGGTTAGAGATTGTGAAAATAAGACTGTTTATCCTCCACATCTGTAGATTCATGCTCCATGACGATCAAACCAGAGGCTGGATTTAACTCCATCATGAGGTCAAGCTTGTAGTTTTAACTAAAACAATTTTTCAAAAGATATAATCTTTTCCATCTGAGGGAAAAGTAGCATCGTCACAAATACTGGATGCGTTATTCAACAAATACACTTTTTCAGTTTAGAAATGACTAATTTTAAAAAAGATGACTTGAACATCTATTAATTTTAGTAAAAAGAATTTTTTACTATAGAACAATATAATGAAATCAGTATAGAACAATCCAGCAGTAGATATGTTAAAATTGATTCCACATACACAGAGTTTAATCCTATTTTAAAAGTTGATAGTGCAGCTTTAAATGACTTTCAATGAAGTCTTTGAAAAAGAAAGCATGATAACAGATTCAACATACAAGAAAAAAAGTTCAAACAAGAGAATCAATAACGATAAGATTTTAGGGCCTGTGGTACCAATTCAAAGGCGATTTGAACAATTAATTTATGTAAACATTGAATAACAATAGCAGTTATAATGTGCCGACTTAAGCAACATTGTTTCAAGTAACTACTTGATGCAACTTATTTATTGAATCCAAATTATTTTTATCTGGATATTTAGAAAGAAAGCATAATTTTTATCCTCGAAATTAGTAAATATCAAAACAAAAAAAGAATAGATGGATTTAATCAACATTTGTAATATTAGTAAATCCAACATTTTAATCAGTGATATCATTGTCTATTTAATGGTTTTAAGTTTACTTAATTAAATCAGTAGTTTTACTTAAAGTCTAAAATCTACTCTGTTATATTATCACTTTTTGTAATTTTAAGTAAATAACGGTCAAACTTTTTCAGTCTATTTGTTCAGCAACAGAACAAGACCGACAGATTTTCATCTTGTAGCAGAAAATTTAATTTTTAGGTTAATTTAAAACATTGGAATATCTGAGAAGATTCATTTTTATTTCCTTAAAAGGAAATTGAAGTGTTTTTCCCAGATGCTCAGAGTAATTTCTCACTTTCTACTCCAATGATGGGCCAGCGACCGAGTCAGCAGCGACTCCTTTGATCCCATTTCCTCTTACAGCACAGTTCTTCTGATCTCAGCAGGACCAAACCAGAAGTCCAGGTTTAATTATGATTCACTGCCCGCTCACAGGGGAGAGGAAAAGTCACTGAGGTCTGTTTCCAATTTGGGAACCACAAATATTTTCCATTCGCTTCCTCTGATTCTATCGTTGTTCATCTAATAAACAACTAATTTGAAAAAAGAAAAAGGTGGTGGGATTTTATGCAAACAGGAAGACGTCCTTTGAAAGACAGGAGATGATGCCTTTGAGTGGAGCAGAACAGCTGTGAAAGCTGGTAAAACACCACCTGAACTCTGTTTTCATTTCTCCAATCTGGTGTGTATGCTGCAGATTTGGTTTGGGACAAACATGGTTGTAATTCAGAGAGCTTGTGAACCAAGTTGTCCCTGCGGACCAGAGGACCTAGTGCTGGAAAAATACCCAGATTCTGCAGAGCAGAGGTCTAGTTTGATCTACCACTAGCTCATTTATTGGGAACAAAGTCCAAAAGGAAATAATTTTCTGTTAGTTTCTACAGTTTGTTTGGATGCATTTAGTCTCCGTTGATGCGTTAAGACAATTATTTGTGCAATGTAGGAGTCTACTTGTTGTTGCCAGAAGTGGAAAAGAAAGGGAATAAAGAAAATGAAGGAAGAATGTTGGGACAAAACATTAAAGGGAAAGAGAGATACAAGGACAAAGGAGAGAAAGAAGGGTGACCACCTTACAAATCTCCTAAACCTGCAGAGAGAAAAAGAGAACAGAAAAAACACAGTAACAAACTGCATGCATACATGTCACTAATTAATAAAGGATAACTGCAGCCCAATAGTTTCAGATCAGTGTACAGAGGTGCCGTGAGTTTCTCCAGCTGTGAACAGAAACAAAGAAGTTATTATCTTTGGACCTAAAGAGGAACAATCTGCAGTCAACACACAGATTCAATTACTTCAGTTATTTAATAAATAAATGGTTAATAAATGAATAGTTATTATTACAACTAGAAATCAGAATGAAATCTGGGTGTGGTGATGAACTCTGACCTGAGCCTTCAGAGCAACAAGAAGACCGTTACAAAGTCGGCCTCCTATCACCTGAAGAACATTTCCAGGATTTATGTCCCAGCAAGATCTAGAGAAACTCATCCATGATTTATCTTTAGTCACATTGATTACTGCAGTACCTGCCTAAAAAAAAAAAAGATCAGACAGCTGCAGCTGATCCAGAACGCTCACATGGGTGTTGACAGTCTGATAGATTCGATTGGATTTGGGACCAAATTTGCAACATTTGTTACATTTTCAGCTGCTCTGGTTCTCTTTCACTTGATAAAATGTAATGTTTATTGATGTTTTATAATTGGTTTCTGTATTATGTTTTTAATCACGTAAATCACTTTGAAATGTGTTACACAAATGCATTTAAACAGTAGCCTAGCCCACCAGGACAAGAGCTCTGAGGAAACCACCCAATATTTTCATCTCTACCTATATTTTTCAGTTTTCTTTCAGGTTTATTTAAAGCTGTCATCATTTTACCCCCATAGAAATACCTATTATATCCACCTGACAGAAGTAAATCAAGCGCCAACTGTGTTATGGCCTGGGAGAGCCTATTTTTGTTAGTTTGTTTTTTTGAGGTTTTGGTATAAAAACCTTGCGGGGATGAGATGAAAACTGCATAAGTGACTGAAAGCCACACCGCAGGACAAATTCAACGAACCAGCAAACCTCTGAGGTTTCGGCTTCCAACAAGCGGTGAACCCATGTCTTGTAGCTCATCACTTAGAAATTATTTTGTGGTTGTGCAATAGTGAATTAAAAAGGAGTAGCACTGCTGTGTGAAATTGAATGATCACCACAAAATTCCCTGTGTGTTAATTGAGTTTGCAAAGAGGAATGATTATTACTCATAAACACAGTCTAGACAGGTCCAGATAAAACAGATCCAGATCACTGCTGGTATTTCCCAAAGCTCCACAAAGAAAGAAGGAAAACATAAACCCAGACAGTGTTTTTTGTTTTGTAGCTAAAGATCCTATTTTAAATGCTGTTATTTAACCATCAAACATTCTGACTGCATCACCGCATCTGGAAAACAAGACATAACCCAAACATGTTTCTCTATTCACATGAAAGCCGGTTTTCTAACGAAGGGCTTCGCCCTGACAGTCATTAAGAGTCATTTTCCCTTCACTGTTGTGAAACAGGATGGCTGGTGGATGATTTCCTGTACCACCCTGGACTGTACATTAGGCCCAGTAAGTGTCTCCGGGGAGGTGAAGCGGGTGGAGGGTCTGACTCACAGACGGTGAAAGCTTTTTGTTTGACAGTCCAGATAAAGCCACTCATGAACAACAGAGCTTTTTCATTTCTTAAAAGCGAAACTCTGCAGAAAACAGAGAGAAGAAGGCCATCAGGGCAGAAATGTTACATTAAAAACAGTTCAATAGGTTTAGCATTAAAACATTAACCTTTATTTAGTAAATCAAACTTTTCTGTGGGGTTAAAGGTTTTGCATTGTTTCCAGACATTACAGGTTGGGTCTGATACAGTTAATTGAAATAATCGTCAACTATTTGATTAATCGTTAACTGGAGTATGCAGATTCAAAAAGGTAATTTGCTAAAAGGACATAATCAGAGCAGAAATGAGTCAAAACTAAAGATTTTGGCTGAAGATTTCATTTATTTCTTAGATGCAACATTTTGCATCTGAGAAAAAAGCCCTTCTTTGTATGTTTTCTAAACAGAACTCCTCAAGTGACATTTTTAGCTTCACCTGGTTCAAATTCTGAAAAAAAAAAAACTTCTATTAAACAACTTTTGCAATCCAATTATTAATCAATCAAAAAAAATAATAATCAGAAGGGGTTGAACGTTTCACAAGATATTTGTTTAGCTGAAGATGCATCCTTTCCTGTTATTGCATTTTAGACATCTGGTTGATTGTCTTATTTAACAAGGAATTATTTATTTACATATTTTAACGTATTTCCAATATTGTATAAGAAAGTGTTTAAATAATGCAGAGTGTCCTATTTTTTTCTTAGAATAATTGGTAAAATCATAAATAATTGCTGAAATAATCATTAGTTGCAGTCCTAATTACTGGCATGATAAGCTCTAAATGTATTTAAATGAAACGCGTTCCGATGAAAAGGTGGATGTGAAAAGAGTAATTGTAGGCCTGAATTATGAAAACAAATTTGTAATTTGCAGACCTTTCCAGTCAAGGGGAAGTTATACCGACATAATTAGCATGAACCATGTTCCTCATAAGCCTGTAATGTATTCAAACACAATGTCACTGTTATCTAGGGAAATCACCTTCTGTAAACTGATACAGAGCAACATCACAGTGGTAAGTTTACAATTTTCCCATTTAAAACAAGCCACTCAAATGCAGCACCGCAAAGTGAAACCGACAGCTAAAAAAGTACCTCTATTTTGAATGTTTTGTATTAACATCAGGAGGTAATACATTACTAAATTCCCAGGCAAAGTATAGACAGCTTCTTGCAAAAGCAATTGAAATAGGTTCAGAAATATAAAACTAATAACATTCATACCTTTATACCAGTATACAGCTGTAGATCAGAGTGTCAAACTCTTGTCGTCAAGGGCTTTTGCCTAGCAACAAAACCATCCCTCAGGCGAGTCCAACACACCTGAAATGAATGACCGAATCACTTCCTCGTTCAGGTGTGATGACGCAGAGCCAAATCTATTTTTAAGACCCATTTATATCCTAGCTTCACATTTGTAGCTGAGGTTTTCAAATGTTGCTTCAATATTCCTACATAATGTTCTTTTCTCATGATGCAATCTATGAAGTGCACCAGTTTCTCCATTTCTCATATTTCACAGTTAAAATGGCACAAGCAAACCCAACCCCTTAATTTCTAGTTTTATCAGAACCAAAACGTCTCCAAAAAATTTGTCGTATCTTTAGTTTATTTCTCTTATATCTAAAAAATTATTTTCTAGATAATCATCTTCAAAGCATGATGGTCAAGTAGTTTGCCAAAATGATATAAAATGGAGCCAACATGTAGATAATAAAATCAATCATTTTGTTTAAACTGCTTGTGTCGAAACATTTTTTTACTGTGGGTCTGTCTCCAGGTTGAAAGCATTCAGAGGTCACACATTTGTTTTTCACTTTTACAGCAATGAATTAATTTATTTTTAACCAATTCAGCCTGAAATTAAACATGCCATATCAAAATGAAATGGGTTAGAAAAGAACACATTTTTGTAGGTCCGAAAACGAGTTCTCGGATACTTTTGGGTCAATTTTTTTTAATATTTTAATGGTCCAGAACATTTTTTTTATTGCCACCAACTTACTAGTAATTGTGGGCACCGCCAACTAAAAAGTTAGCTGCGCTATCACTAGAGAACTTCTACAATAGCTAAAATGCTATACAAATGTGATATTTAATGCAAGCTAATGCTAAACTGCTAAATTAAATCATGTTTGATACCCACCATGTGTCAAAGACACACCGTGTTGACAGCGTACCACTCAACAAGGTCAAAATTGTACACCTACCTTCACGTTTTGCGCTTCAGGAAGTGATTCTTCGGAACAAAACTTTCACTCATAGTTTCCGTTTTATAGTTTTGTTAACGCTGTTGCTGATATTTTCCTAACTGACCATGGCAGGGCTTCGATCAGAAAGCACGCAGCAGGACATCAGTAGGTTTTAAGCTATTTACAATAGGACTACAGCTATTCATTCTGGGTGCAGAATAAATGTCACCCATAGTTTAACACAGGTGTGGGCAATCCTGGTCCTGAAGGGCCGTCAACTCTTAGATGTCTCCCTGGTCCAACACGCTTGAATCCAACAGCTGAATCACCTCCTAAGTGCAGTCAGGTTCTCCAGAGTCCTGCTAATGACCTCATTATTTGACTCAGGTGTGTTGAAGTAGAGATACATCTAAAAGTTGCAGGAGACTGGCCCTCCAGGCCTGGAGTTGCCCACCCCTGGTTTAACATGTATCCATGTTATTGGTTAAAAAAGGATCCAAAATCATACTTTTAAATTTTTATTAACATGAAGAGCACCAAGTGTGTGGCATCAACAGAACATGCTGTAGAACATCTTAAATCACACAGTTAACAAAATAAATTACTTTTCACTCATAGAAGGAATACAAACCATAGTTTTAGTGTTTACAGACACAAAAGAGAAAACCAAACAAATACAAGGTTAAAGTGCAAACTACACTGAGGGTATATTGCCATTTTAGATAAACACCTTCATGTAACCCTTCTGTAAAACTAAAGAGCATTTTGTTTTGTGTAGATGTGTTTTCTTCATTTTTAGTTGAAAAAAACAAATCATTTTTCTTCGCTGAAATCAATCTCAGTACTGAGCTCCATCAGTCGGTTTTAGCTCTCAAAGGATCAATTCAGATACTTTGTTTAAACTCTGAAACTTGCTAGATGAAAATATATACCAGTCAATTATCTGTATTTAAAGAAGACCCAAGATCAACTTAGATCTGCAAAAAGACTGGAATCGAAACTCAAACTTAGAGGCGATAATGGTTATATTTCTACAGGTAATGTGTTTACATATGTCTAAAACATTTTGTGATTCAGGCTGTAGGGAAATATCTTGCAGTAAACTTTGAATAATAGTGAACCATATGTTTATGTCACCATTAAAATGGTTATACCACCTCTAACAATATTTATTAGAGAATCAAAGTACTTAACATTGTAAAATATAAGATTGTAAAATATAGGACTCTAAGAAAAAAAGAAAAGTGTTGGTTATGAGAAAAATATCACCTTAAAATAAGCTTCAGGAACATTGTGAAACCAGTAATATAAAACTCAAGAAATATTACTCAATTTTAGGAATGCATTAATTCACCTACAGTTTCAAAACTATGAAAAACCAACCACATCACTGAAATTGCTTCACTTCTCCTGCTAAACATCCTACAATGCTGTCCTGCATCCCTATCACCATCACATGACCAAATAAATACCACATGGCCGCCCCCGCCCCTAAAGCCCTAAAACCACAAACAGCAACAAACTAGAAAATCTTGGCCCAGTATACTTCAAAAATGTTTTCAATAATGACTAACATCTGTATGTTCGTAACATATGTATCTGTAACGTCTGTATCAGTAACGACTGTATCAGTTGTCCAGTGAAGAGTTTTAAAGCATGGCTTTCTGAAATGTTCCATCCAACCAAAAGCTGTTTCCAAGTACTCCTTGGCGATTGATTTTGGACAGAATGATAATCTTGAGTTTAAATAGTGTGATTTTACGACATTAACACAAAAATTCAAAACAAAGATGTGTAAAATTGTTTGGCTGATTTCATTTGCAACAGGTATAATAATGTTATCTATTGCTAATATTCTTTTTTTTTTATTTTGCTACGTAGACTAAAGAACATTTGAATAATGTGGAAAACAGTTTTCAAATAAACACCAATTTTTTTAGAAGATTATTGTCCATTTTAGTTTTTCTACTCTTTAAAGCATAATAAATATGTAACAAGCCGATATTAGCTGGTTAATTTAACAGACTATCTGCTTTGCTAGCCACCGTGCTGATAGCATGCTAACTGTAGCTAAGCAGGCTACTGGCCGTTTATTTGAAAGGGACCAACAGAAGAAATACAGATCAAAACAATCTGATGTCTGAATCACAGTATTTGTAGCCATGGCTAATTAGCAACACCAGTCCCCTGAAGGACCTTTAACAGCTTAACTTAGCTTAATTGGATTTTTTGACTCCCACACCATGACTCAACACAGTTTTACACAACTGGGAAAATTTCAACACTACCACATATGTAGTAGTCACCTGTTGCACAGCAACATGTGGAGGAGAGGTAACACCTCTGGTGACTCATTGAAATTACTTTAATCTATAGAATCAGGATGATTAAGATGTTTTAAAAACTTTGATACTTTATAACCAGTCCATACTTATAAACTTGGGAATCAATGACAATGTGGTATGCCTGAAATTTGAGACCATTTCAACCTAAGAAGTTCTGGAAAAAACACTTTTATGAAATAAGTACTACTCTAAGTCCCTTATGGTGCTAAAATCTATATTTATGAGTTGATCATTTCAATATTTTTATCATGAGTCCAGGGTACAGCTTCAACAAATGTACCAACTCACACATTTAAAGGTTTGTACCCCTATCCTTCTTTGGTTTTATAGATTATTTCCTGTATTTGTGCCAACCTTTTGGTGCTTGCTGAAGTTTTTAAAGCAAGTTTAAGCTTTGCAACAAACTTCACATATAGATAAGAGACTGGTATAAATTTAAATCCATGATCCTCAGAGCATGTTTCTGAAAATATGACTTGCAACAGCAGAAGAGTACTTCAGTCCGGTCTCCTGACGCTACGGTCTACTCAAAGTGGTTTAGTGTTGGTTCTACATTCAATAAATAGGTATCAGGAATGCAACATGGTACAAAAAATAATCATTTAACACTGCTCCTTCAGGCATAGAGATGACTTTTCTTTGTTCAAGCAACACCCATAAAAATATTGGCTTTAAAGCTCTGCACTGGTGCTGGTGACAGTTTCTGGTTTCTGGTGTAAAGTCCTGAAGAAGTGAGCACAGGAGGATTGAAACCTTGGGTTCCTTAAACAAAGCTGCATGAAACTGACATAAAACTCAGTCAAAAAGTCCAGCCTTGTGTTGTAAGAAAATATAACAATAACTAGGGCCTTCATTGGCTTGTCTTTTTGTTATCTAGGCTGTACTCCACAACCACGACTTCCTGTAGGAGATGTGCCTGATTGACAGCTGTGTTTGTCAACTCGTGATGGCTCTTTGTAGTTGTAATCCAAACCCAGAGCGTCAAATAGTCCATGAAGTCTCTGAGAATCTCCAGATTACACATTCACATTTAAATCCTTCAACAGTCTCATAAACTTTTTGACTCTGAATGTGATTGTCTTGCTACGCATGAAAGCCTCTGCTGCGCTTCCGTCTCCTTGCTCGAAAACATTTAACCAGCAGCACCAGCAGGATAATCACGACTAACAACGTTATCACAACAACCGCTGTGTAGTTTGGGGCATCTGATTGGTGACACATTTCTCGGGTCAGCTTCTCAATGTTCACTGGCTCCGGAGACTCCTCGTGAACACAAGTCACGGTCTCGATGTCAGGAACAACGATCGTGGAGTGCTGCACCGTGTGGAGGAAGCCCAGGTTGTCGCAGCAGCTCAGAGGGTTGGAGCCCATGTAGAGGGTCTTTAAGGAGCGCTCCAAGGCGAGGACGGTGGATTGGTCTAGGGTGACCAGGTTGTTGTTCTGCAGGTTCAAGGACTCAATGGCGGAGTCTTTGTTCCAGGTCGGTAGGGTGTTCAATTGGTTGGTGGACAAGTCAACGTGTTTGAGGCTCTTCAGGGAGGTCAGGTCTGCGCTTAGGCTTGACATGTTGTTTTCCCTCAGCAGCAGATGGACCAGGGAATCTTCCAAGCCAAACAAGGAGTCCTTGTGCATGTTTAATCCTGGATTTAAGGACAAGTCTAGTAATTTCAGAGGGGTGTTCACAAACGCCTTTGCAGGAATGGTCCTCAGATTATTTCCAGAGAGGTACAGGAAGTGCAGGTTATTAACAGATGAGAATGATACACAGCCAATTGGATTCTGGTGGTTTTGGTCCTTCAGCATTAACCCATGTTGGTTTTGCTCACTGTTACAGATTTGCAGATTGTTCTGCTGGAGCTGCAGGTACTTGATGCTGGGCAGTCTTTGAAATATTTGCTGGTCTAGGACAGTAAGGTCGTTTCCCTGTAAAAAGAGCTTTTTCAGGGAGTGAAGGGAGTTTTTCCCAAACGTCAAAGTCTGCAGAGAATTATGGCTTAGATTGATGACCTTCACCTTGTGCAGGATGTCTTTAGATGTGACTGAAAACGAGCTGATACAGTTGTTACTCACATTGAGGACTTCAAGGGATTCCATATTGGAAAAGAAAATCTCAGGTAAACTTTTGAGCTTATTGTAACTTATGTCCAGGTATTTTAAATCATATAAATTTGTGAGGTTCAGGACACTCCCTGTGGTGTTGAGAGTCTGAATATGGTTTCGCGAAATGTTCAGAAATTCAAGCACATTCTTTTCTGGGAGGAGAGGGAAGCAAAGCATTTTGTTTTCACTCAGATCCAGAGAGCGAAGCTTAAAGGAATTATCCGACTTTACACTGTGGAAAAACTCAATGCTGTTCTTGCTGAGATTGAGGACCTCCAAGTTGTAAAGATTGAAGTCTAGGATGCAAGTGATTGAATTCTTAGATAAATCGAGCTCAGTCAGATGATTCAAAGAGTCAAAAGCTCCATCTTCTATCTCCAGGATGACGTTGTTGTGGAGACTAATTTTCCTCAAAGATGCTGATCCGCTGAAGGTGTTCTGTGCAATTTTTGTGATACTGTTGCTGTCCAGTGAAAGGTTCGCCAGAGATGGGGATTCAGCCAGGAAGTAGTCTGACATACCTGTGTACAATCCATTGCTTGAAAGATCCAATGACTCCACGGCCGCGAGAGGTCCGACTCTTATTTTGGAGAGTGCGAAAACATTCAGGTGATTCTGGGAGAGATCCAGGACTCTCAGATCCTTCATGTCTTTGAAGAGTCCTGGCTGGATGAAGTGGATCTTGTTGGAATGAAGGTTCAGTTGGTGAAGGCCAGTGTAAAAGCCTAAAGTTTCCAACGAGAGGTTTTGAACCTGGTTTCGAGAAAGATCCAGCATTTGGACTCCCTGAGGAAGATTGAGTGGTGCGCTCCTGAGACTTAGATCGCTGCAGAACACATCCATCTGGACCTGGAAACAAAGAC